CCAGAGCACCATATATTCTCTGGCCCCCATAAACGTCCCATCTGTTGTAAGACGTCGGCACCAGCATCAATAAGCTCACAAAGGTTTTAGGATTTCCTTTTCTGTGGTTCATTTACACTGGTAAGCATCTGAAGCTCCCTTTCTACTAGTCTAGGAAGATGTACAGCATCTCGTAATGTTGCCACAATGTCTTTCTTCAAGGATTCCTGACCTCCCTTTGATCACGGGGGGTCTATGAATTGTCTTAGGTCTTGGAATTGGTTGAAGGGCCATGACTTTCCCATACATGTAAGCAGTCAGCCTTCTGTCTGCCAGATCTAGATTTCTTTTTTTTTTTTTTTTTTCTTTTTTTGAGACAGAGTCTTGCTTTGTCACTCAGGCAGGAGTGCAGTGGTACAATCTTGACTCACTGCACCCTCCACGTCCCAGGTTCAAGTGATTCTCCTTCCTCAGCCTCCCGAGTAGCTGGGAATAGAGGCACCCACTACCATGCCTGGCGGAGTTCACCACGTTGACCAGGCTGGTCTTGAAATCCTGGCCTCAAGTGATCTACCTGCCTCGGCCTCCCAAAATCCTTCCCTCCCCCCCCCTCCTTTCCCTTTCCTTTTTTTCCTTTCTTTCTCTGCCTTTCTTCTTTATTTCCCTCTCTCACTTGCTCGCTCTCTTTTGCCCCTTCTTCTTTCTCGTGTCTTGCTTTCTGATATACAAATCAGTCTGCCCTTTCCTAGGAGGTCCATCTACTTTTCAGTCCTAGGAGCTCTATCATCAATCATTTGGATGACTTCCTTGGCCCCACTTCCTATTACAATGACCACATCCACTTTGTCTCTGGAAGTTGAGCATAGCTACAGGGTGTACTGTGTTTGTACTCTAGGACCCAATCACCCACACCGAGCTCAGGGACCCACTTTAATGGCAGCATTGCCCACGTTCATCTCTGAGCTTCTGAGGATGCCTGCCTCTGTGCTTTTCAAGGATGCTGACACGTGATACTTTTTCAAGTGAATGTGTTCTGGGTCTTCTCACAAGTTAGGAACTAGCTGATTGAGTTGCAATTTGAACTCTCCTTTCTTCCTGATACTTTGGATCATTTTGTTCAAATTATACCTAGCAACTTTTGGCATCTCGTCTTCATTCAGCATAGCTTACCATTGAGTCCATAGTTCAAGTAACTGAGCAAGAACCCTTTCCAGCTGCCAGAGTTAGCTAGCACATTGAATCTGGACACTATCAAACACGTCCATATAAGTAAATTCTGCACAATCTAAAATTAGGTTTCCCCTTTGCTAATCTAGGAAAGACACTAAATATCCATTCCCACTGTATAATCCCTAGGTTTTAACCACTATAAATTTAGCAAAATCTTGAAATTATTTTGGTGTGTAAGCAGTCTTCTGAGTATAACTCGGTGATTTTCCCTATGTTCAATTAATCTAATTCCAGGTGTAGAGGTAAAGATGGAATGGTAGCATGGGCAGAGTCAGTTTCACAGGCCTCTGACCATGCAGCCACACAGAGCCTTGTGCTTCAGAGGGTCCCATGCTTGGTTTAATGCTCTGCTGTTGCTGCCTTGAAATTCTCAATAATTTTTTAACAAGGGACTCTGAATTGTCACGTTGCACTGGGGTCCCACAAATCACGCAGCTGGTCCTGACAGTGGAGCATGAGGACAACTGGGCTCTTTATACAAAGGAACTATCTCAGTAAAGGCCATGATGTGGTCCTTAAGCAGGGTAAGGACAGCTTCATCAGACAGGGAAGGAGCGCTGTTTCTGCTAGCAGGAAAGCCTAGTGGGGCTTATGAGTTTACGGTAATTGGACTGAATGTATCTATTAAGATACTTCATTGCCAATTAGTTACTGAGATTTTTGAATGAGTTGTGGCAAGGCTATCTGACTTCAACCTAAGTTGTCCTATGTCTGGGATTTTTGGCTATGTTGGCTTTGTGGTTGAATCAATGGGCTTTCTGGGTATTTTTGGCCATAGCTTAGGTCAAAATGTTTCTTTTTCTTTTGAGATGGAGTCTCACTCTGTTGCCCAGGCTGGAGTGCAGTGGCACAGTCTCAGCTCGCTGCAACCTCTGCCTCCTGGATTCAAGCTATTCTCCTGCCTCAGCCTCCTGACTAGCTGGGATTACAGGCACCCACCACCACGCCCTGCTAATTTTTGTATTTTTAATAGAGGCGGGGTTTCACCATGTTGGCCAGGCTGGTCCATTAGGTCAAGAATTTAAACCCATGCTAGCTATGGCCCACATGCTGCTGTCTTGATTTCTGGGGACTGTAGTTAGAAGATTCTAGACTCTACCTGGCTCCTGTTACTACGTGAGTTTGGAAGTCTCTTGGGCTCCTTGCACCACAAAGGGAAACTAAATAATGGCCTGGGTCTCAGAGATAGTGCCTGGACGGGCCGGCTACCATGTGTCAAGGTCCCAATCATTCTTAGTGTGTGAAGTGTAATGTATTCCTACAGTTAACAGGTGACGGGGCAGCAGTGGATGACCGTGCGGCAGATAACATGGACCTGGGGTGTCCCCTGTGGCAGGAGATCTCAGTGTGCTTTTCTGAACACATTGATTAATGTCGCTGCTTGTCCCTGGTGAGGAGCCAGGCAGAAGAACACTGCTTTTCTGCAGGTGTGCTGAGACACAGAAATCCCAGGGCGAGATGGGGTGAGGCCATATCCAGACAGGGCCAGCAGAGCAGGCTTGAATTCAGGCTCCTCAATGCCCCAGGTGTTACTCACAGGCATTCCCCTAAAGGAACTAAATCACTTTTCCAGGCCAAAGCTGGAAATCCTGAAATCTCCCTGAGCCAAAAGAAACACTCATCATCTCACCGTTGTGGTTGAAATCGCCGTTTGTATTTATTGGAAAAGCAGAACAGAAAGCACCTGGAGGGGTGCAGCTTCCACGGTTCTCCAAGCACGGGCTGTACATCACCCTTAGGCTGGCCAATCCCTTGCGGGGGAGCAAAGCTGCTTTGTGGAAATGTCCCCAGGAGGAAGAAACTGGAAGACGCACCTGCTATTGCACCACGCTATGGAGAACACAGCGAACGAAGTGGTGGCAGAGCTTGGCCGTGTGAGTGCCTCAGGTAAAAGTCTCCAGTCTGTCCAGGCCAGAGCAGACACTTCTCCTCCTTGGACAGCAGCCTGCCAACTCAAGCGACGTGAGAGTCATCTCCCTGGCCAGGCACAGTGGCTCACACCTGTAATCCTAGCACGTTGGGAGGCCAAGGCAGGCAGATCACCTGAGGTCAGGAGTTCGAGACTAGCCTGACCAACATGGTGAAACCCCGTCTCTACTAACAAAAATACACAATTAGCTGGGCATGATGGCATGCAACTGTAATCCCCGCTACTTGGGAGGCTGAGGCAGGAGAATCGCTTGAATTCAGGAGGCAGAGGTTGCAGTGAGCCGAGATCATGCCATTGCAATCCAGCCTGGGCAACAAGAGCAAAACTCCACTTCAAAAAATAAAAAAGATGCATCTCCCCAGACTGGCTGCTAGTGCAAGAAGCACCCAGCTTTTCTAAAGGCAGGAGAGTGAAAAGTGACAGTGTGTGCCATTTCCACTGCAGAAGACCCTGCCGTGTCTAGGCGGTCTCTAGGGGGCAGATCATGATGAGGGGCCAGAAGGCTTTACTGCTGGAACAGCAGGGAAGGGCTATGATTGGGTTAAAAGGCCATGATCAAAAGATAACCAAGAGAAAGCCACTTGACTTCTGAATCACACAGAACCTGCTCAAATGTACCTGAGCCGTAAGTATAGTGAATATTCTCATTTTTCCTTATAGTACTGTGTTAAAAATTTTCTTGCCAGGTGCGGTGGCTCAAGCCTGTAATCCCAGCACTTTGGGAGGCCGAGGCGGGTGGATCACGAGGTCAAGAGATCGAGACCATCCTGGTCAACATGGTGGAACCCCGTCTCTACTAAAAATACAAAAAATCAGCTGGGCATGGTGGTGCGTGCCTGTAATCCCAGCTACTTAGGAGGCTGAGGCAGGAGAATTGCCTGAACCCAGGAGGCGGAGGTTGCGGTGAGCCGAGATCGCGCCATTGCACTCCAGCCTGGGTATTTTCTTTCCAGAAAGGTGAAGTGCTTTGGTGGATAAGGAATTGGTGTCAGGACAAGTGCTAGGATGAACAAATATTCCTATCAAATAAACAAGACCTGTTGCTGGGGCAGGGAGCGGGGGTTGTTTGCATAAAGAGGAAGAGACTGGAATCCTGCAATGGGCCCTTTGGGAGCCTGGCTGGGAGTGAGGTCAGGTCACATGATCCCAGTAGGTTAGGAGGTGTCTTTGCAGAAGTCCAGAGCATCTTGGGGCACCTCACTTTGAATTCAGAGACATTGGAAACAATTACTGAGCAAACATGGAGAAACAAGATAGCAGTGGCTGAGATACTGCTCAGGTTCTCTCTATTTAGGAAGCAGTTTGATGACCCACAACAGGCTGATCAAGGCAACTGCCCCCTGTGTTAATGCGGCCCATAGGTATCATCTTCAATCCTTAGTAGCTGGTGTTGGAAATCAGGTGTAATTTATCTTGTTTAATTACCAGCTGCCCTGCTCCTCAGTTCCCTCCCCTGTGATGAGCTCATTCAGTCTTTACCTGCCTCAGCTGGAAGGGAAATGCTGACTGGATAGGGAGGCCCTGTGCGTGTTGATTTTCAGGCATCTTGGGTGCTTTGCAAGGCCACAAATCCCTTCCAAAGATATGGAAGCACCAGCAGGTTCCAGCAGTAGCTCAGCTCACTCATCAGGACTGATGGTTGACCTGGACTGCGGAGCTGAGGACCACCCTGATTTTCTTCTGACATAAAGGCTAAGCCCCTTGATGTCTTTTACGCTAGAGATTCTAAAATGTTCTCTCCCCATCAGGGCTCTTTCCTGGCCGCTTGCAGGCCAGCACACAGCACTCAGTGGTCCCGCTGCTTCTGGACTTCCATGCACTGCGTCTGGGGTCAGGCCAGGAAGGAGCTGCACCCAAGGGGAAGGCAAGACTTGCATTTTATCCATTTAGACTACCAAATGCGTGATTAAAAACGAAAACTCCTACAACGCTTGAAACAGATGAATACAAAACCTCACTCATTCTCCATTGCCGCCAGGATTAGCCCTGCACACCCAGCAGCCCCCGTCCCGTTAACCCCGCAGGTAGGGGGCGCGCACGGGCCCTGGGGCGTTGATGTGCGGCAGCACGCCCACAGCCAGCTTCTCGCTGAGTTTCTGGTTCGCCAGCTCCAGGTGGCGGCCCTTCTTGCGCGCCTGCCGCAAGGACCTCTTGACCTTCTTCACCCGCTCCCGGAGCTGCCGGTTGCGCTTCTCCAGGGTGGCGACTTTCTGCTGCAGTTTCTTCACGTGGTCCTCCTCCTCGAACAGGGCCTTCTGCACCGAAGAGCACATGAGCTGCAGACAGAAACACCGCGCAGGGAGAGGAGGTGAGTCCCAGAAACTGCCCTGGGGGCAGGGGAGTCAGGAGCTTTCCGGGGGCTGACAGCGGCACAGACCCAGACCCCCGACCCCAGGATGGGGATAAACCCAGGATGTCCTTGACGGTGACATTCCCTGCCCCCCACCCTGCGAATCCCGCCCTGGCCTCAAATATAGAGCCCTTGTTTTGCTTTCCGTACTTGGCTCCCTTGGAAGATGTCGTTTTAAAAGGATATTCTGAATATTTGTCATGCATAGCAAAAAGGAAAGAGCCCTGCTTTGGTAACAGACCAAAACCAGAAATGGAGACAGAAGGTGGATGGTTCCGCAGATGGTGGGGAGTCAGCAGCCTAATTAACAAAGGCTGAGCCACTTACATCGGCAAAGACTCTGATCAATGTCGGTCAGCCCAACTGAAGGCGGGGTTCCCTTCAACAAAAAGGGGCTCCGTTTGCTTCCTTCAACTGGGCTGGCCAGCACACAGTTTCCTTTCCCAAGAAAGGAAACAGTATCTTTAAAGGTATGAAAAGACACTTAACCCCACTCATAATAAGATAAACAGCGAATGAAAGCCACAGTGAATTGCTATTTTTCACAGATTGGCAAAATTGCAGTCAGGATTTGGGAAAACAGGTGCTGTCATACAGTGAGTAGAGTGTTGACTTCTGTAAAGACCAATTTGGCTCTGTCAAAATAACTGCATGTACCCCTCGATCTGGTAACTGTGGGACTATCTCATATAAATCCTCTTATACGTGCAAGCTGCCACATGTACAGATATGGCATTATTTGCTATATTAAAAGATTGGGAACAAAAGTCTCCCTTAAGAGAGGTCTGGTTCAATAAATTATAGTAAATCCATACAAAGCAAAGGTTTGCCGTTTTTAAAGGAACAAGACAGCTCCGTGTGAATGGTACTGTAGCAATAGCTAAGTGGTGTTCATACTGAAAAGCTGTGCAGAATAGTGTGGATACTGTGATGCCAAGAGTGTGAAATATGGTATCCATCTGTGTCTGTTTAAATATGCACACACTATCTCTGGGGGAATATACAAGCGACTGGTAAGGATTGCAGTACCCGGGGAGCAGAGAGGACAGGAGTAAGAAGATTGATTTTCACATTTGTGCTTTTTGAATTGTGTATGTCAAAGGTTTGGCTGTGTCCCCCCCAAATCTCATCTTGAATTATAGCTCCCAAAATCTCCATGTGTCGTGGGAGGGACCCAGTGGGAGGTAATTGAATCATGGGGGTGGGTTTTTCCCATGCTGGTCTCGTGATAGTAAATAAGTCTCACGAGATCTGATGGTTTTATAAAGAGCAGTTCCCCTGAACGCTCCATTGTCTGCCGCCATGTAAGACATGACTTCGCGCCTTGTTTACCTTCCACCGTGATTGTGAGGCCACCCGAGGCATATGAAACTGAGTCTGTTAAACCTTTCCTTTATAAATTACCCAGTCTCAGGTATGTCTTAGCTGTGTGAGAACAGATTAATGGTAATAATGCTGGCACTTCCTTTAGGTGTGTGCATGCATATATAAAAAGAAGTATTCTCATCTCCAATCTCCCACTCATTTTATATCATCAAAAGCTATGTTCCCAAAGAAAGACTTGAGCCTCAACTTTCCTCTGTTTAGAAATCCATCGAGCCCCACTGTCCACACTGCAGTATGGTGGTGATTGGTTAAGAGGTCAGACTCTGAGGCCAGGCTGCTTTGGTTTCCAGTCCTGCCTCTTCTGCTGACGAGTGGCGTGACCCTGGGCAAGCTTCCTAGACTCAGAATAGTGGACTCTGGACTGCGTTAGCCAGAACCCACTTCAGTACTAAAGAATTTATTTCCTCAGCTTCTTGGAGTGTTGCAGACTGACATCCCTTAGCTGTGTCTGTCTCTGGACACTGAGCCTGACCAAAGAGAGCTGCCGAAGGCCCCGCCCCCTTCTTTGGGGCACCTGCATCTAAGGACTGGTTGACCCAAGTGTGTGAACACCAAGGCCTCTCATCCCAACTTGGAAGATCTCTGCAGGGTGGTCCCCACCGCAGGGTGCCCTGGGGTAGGCTCCAGCCTTTGTTGAGGCTAGATCACAGGCCTACATCTGCCTCCGCCTGTTCTGGCTCTTTCCTCCCCAGGTGTTGATCCCAGGAGCATTCTTGAAAACACCTGCACGTCCTATTCCCAAGTATCTGTCTCTGGGAACCTGGCCACTCTCAATGGGATAATCATGGTCGTTGGGAGGTTTTGTGAGTTTTACTTAAAGTGTTTAGAATCATTCCCTGGTGCACAGGAAACGTTCGCTGTTAGCCATGATTATAGGACAGAGTCAAATCTCCTAAAGCCTTTAACTTGTGTGATTGGCCCCAGCCAACATCTCCAGTCTTACTGTTCATTCTTCTGTTCCCACACTTTACCCAAAACCCACTGGCTCCCAGCTCTTCCTCCAGCACATCAGCCCTTTCTCATCCCAGAGGCTCTTCCTTCCACCTGGAGCGCTGTTCTCCCCCAGCTCCTCCTGACCATCTCAGAAGCCCTCTGTGGTCCCTTGCACAATGCTTGCCACCGGGTCTCCCTCTGTATGTCACGGGTCCCCTCCCCAGTCTCCATGGCACCCTTTAGCTATTCACACCCACACACCAAGTACCTGGGGGCACTAGGAGAATGACTGAAGGCCCTTGACAATCAGGGATAACAAGCTTTTGAAGGCCTGGTTCACGTTGGTCTTTGCATCCTTATTGCCCTGGCCATTTTAGGCCTACAATTAAGAAAAAGCAAAGTGGAATGTTCCAAGGCATTAAATAAGAAACTCTAGGCTCCCGGGAAGCCACAGTTACAGGGGAGACCGTATGTGCAATACTGCCCTCTTCTGTCCAAAATGAGACACCCCCCCCCACCCAAATAAAACATGAGAAGGTGGGCACCGGAAATTCCTGGGAGCACTAGCAGTATTTCTACTGTCTGTGGGTAGATATTAGCTATGTAACTTAGGCTTTAATATGGCCACGTACCAGCTGAGAACTGTATATTGACACTCTCTCATTAAGTCATGAGTTTTCTATAAGTTACGGTAGATTTTTCAAGAACGAGACAAAAGAGTCCAGGTGAAGTCTGTTACAACAAGGGGACTGGGGTTTTGCAGGGCTGTCTGTTCAAATTTTTAAAGAGAACCCACTAGTGGCTGGAACGTAACATGAATGAGGAGGTGAAGGAAGGCTCCATGACGGTCTTCAGAAGCTGTGTTTACAAATTGTAAAAAAAAAACAGAGGAGGATGAGTGGTCACTTGTTAAGAGTTCTTTCTGTCTGGGCGTGGTGGCTTATACCTGTAATCCCAGCACTTTGGAAGGCTGAGGTGGGTAGATCACCTGAGGTTGGGAGTTCAAGACCAGCCTGATCAATATAGTGAAACCCCATCTCTACTAAAAATAGAAAAATTCGCCAGGAGTAGTGGCGCCTGCCTGTAATCCCAGCTACTCGGGAGGCTGAGGCAAAAGAATTGCTTGAACTCAGGAGGCATATGTTGCAGTGAGCGGAGATCGCGCCATTGCACTCCAGCCTGGGCGACAGAGTGAGACTGTGTCTCAGAAAAGTTCTAAGACACAACACTCTTCGTAGTCAGCCGTCGATTATAGACAGCTGTTCTCCAGGGGAGCAAGAGGATGAATTTCACCTCCAGCAAGACTTAGAACCCAGACAAAAGGAAGACCTTGACCCAGTTGTGTGTGTATCTGGAGGGGGAGGTATCACTGAGATGGGAATGATGAATTCCCCAGCAAGGTTGAATGTGGAAAGAGCGGGTGGGATGAGTGGAGTTCCTTAGCGAATGAGTCATGCTTTGGTCCTCAGGGTCTCTAATGCGGGTAGGGTTGAGTGGGAGCAGAAGGCATCAAAGGACTCTAGCAACGTATCTCATGACCAACATCGCGCAGCCATGACCCAGGACTCCTCAGCAGGCAGGTCTGTATCTTTGCAGCAAAGTGGGCCATACCTCTGAGTAGCAAGAACCTATATTGTGTGAATTGAGGCTAATGTCATAAAATAATCGAGCCACTGTGGATGGAGATGATGGAACCTTCCTGGATCCCAGCTATCACCTCAAAGAAAATCCTGGGTTTCTTAAGAAAGCCAGAATTTCTAGAGGAGAGCTGTGCTTTCCAAAATGTGTGCTTAAGAAATGCTCCTTTCTTTGGAATGCTTTCCAAATGAAATCTATCTCCTTTTAAAATGGCTTACAAAAAAAAAGAAAAAAAATGGGCCAGACATGCTGTTTGCTCATTTTGCTTTGTGGCATTTTTTTGGTAAACTGAGAAGAGCAGGGGGAAGCCCAGGCCAGGCTGAAACAGGGACTGCCCTATTTTATTTGAAGAAGAACCAAGGAGAAAGTCTTACAGGGCAGCCCGAAAGCAACAGATTCTTCACAGGCAGGCCCCCTGCAGGGCTATAGCACTCCAGAGCTCCCACGTGCTTGGGTACCTCCGGCATTCCCCTGCCGCAGAGTTTTTCTCTGGAAGTTTCCATGTGGCCAAGAGGATGCCTGCCTCAGGGCAGATGGGAAGATTGCCCAGTGAGCCTGCTCTTTTATTTTCAAAAAGACATAGGCTGGGATATCCATTCTTCCTCATCTGTCTAAAATAACACTTTTTCAAAGCAGCAAAGCACAAATAGATTGTAGAAAAACTTTTAAAAATTGTACCAAAAAAAGGAAAATCAAAATCATCTATGATTCTGTGTTACAGAGATAGCCACTGTGGACACTGTAATATATTTCTTCCTAGTATTGTTTCTACAGGTGTGAATAGATAATTATTTCAAACAAAACTGGAGCCCTGCTGTTACTCGGTTTTCTGATCTAATTTTTTCCCCCTTTCATTTTATCATGACTTTTCCAGTCATTGGTCTGTACACTTTCCATGAGTATTTCACGGGAGCAGGAGGAGGGAGCATCTGGTGGTTAGGCTGGCCGTGAGGACTAACTCATTAGGCA